CAAAGTGACACGAGAGGGTCAGGCAAACATGCAACTCAAACTCACCCCTTTTCATACCCAAAAGCTGCAGCTCACGACCTAATCCACGATGTCCGGTCTGGCCCAATTGGGCAGCTTCTCCTTGCATCTCTCACACGCAGTCGTCTGCATGTTCTGCGGCAAATCCGCAGGTTCCATAATGGCTTTCGCCACCCGTCCCGCTGCAATCCAGGGCCATCCACACGCCGTCACCCATTCATTTGGGTGATTTCTGAAGCAGTTGCCCATGGTGGAGTGCAGCTTGCCAGTCACTAAGTTCACGACGATCTCGGGGTGGCTCCACTGAGTGAACATCTTCAAAATCGCTGTGCGGTCCAGGGGCATGTTGCACTTTTCGGCCAGCTCCTCATATTCTGTCTTCAGCTGGTCGTATGCCATGGCCATGTCGTTCGTCTTGGCTGACAAGGCAGCTATCTGGTCCCTCATCTCGAGGTGGTTCAGCACTTGTAGATTTCCATCTGGCGATTCTTCGTACGCCTCCTCAACATATGCCAGCACTGCCGATGAGGAATGCCTCGCGAAGAACTGGATCAAAGGGAGTGGAGTATTCTTACGAGCCAGGTCCTTCACTCCCGACCTTCTGAAGGTATGTCCGGACACCTCATTCGTGGCCAGCGCGTTTGCTTCAGGAAGTGCCAGGCTCAACCGACGAGCGTCGTGCTTGAATGCCTCGATCATTGCAGCTTTCTCCACCACCAACATGGGGTCTCTCTGTTGACCGATCAGCGGGGCATCCACCACCTCGGTCGATGACGCTGTGGTCATCAATCGATGCCCCTGCCTCTGCACCAAGTGAAGCGCAGTGCAGTACGGGCATGTCGACTTCTCCTCTGGACTCGACTTGCAGATGCATCCAAGGGTGCGACGTGCTCCTCGCCCTGAAGGATCGTTCTTCGTCACCGGAAGGTTGAGGGTGACCTGGAGCAGGCGGGGGTTCAAGTCGACCTCCTTCATGTAGATGCACGCTAATTCCTGCTCACGTAGAATGAAGCGAGTGGCGAACACCCAAACTTCGTACCGGTCCGCCGGCCATGTGGGGCTTCCAGCGTCTCTTGGGCCCTTCTCACGAAGGAAGGCCAGCCACTCCAAAGGCACTTCAGGGGCTCGCCGAGGAGGTCCAATGGCCCTCGTCACAGCTCTCTTCGCGTCCCGCATGGCCATGTGCAGCACGTCCGACACTGGGTACCCCTTTCGTTTGTGCCACTGGAAGGCCTCATTTATGTAGGCCATTGCACTGCGATATCCCGCGGCTTTCAATGCAGCGGACACTTCATGCACCTGAGCAGCAGTGATGGGGACAGGCTCATAGCCCAACGATTGCGACAGCCTCGACCATGTTTGACGAATGGCGGTCTTTGAGCTGACCGTTTGTTGAGCATAAATGGCATCCATGTATTCATTTTGAGCCTTCTCCTTCATCTCTGCCGACTGGGTGAATTGCAAGGCAGCTGCTAGTGACCCCTTCATCCTCTTGTTGCTCTGCGACGGGGTCGGTGGTGCGAGGTGTCGACGACGATCGATGCCGGGTGTTCCTGGACATGGTGTACCTGGGTTGACAGTCATCGCCGGTGGTATGGTCAAACCACTTCCACTTGCGGTGCCCTCCCCGTCCGATAGAATCTCCCACGGTTCACCCAATACATCCCACGCGACAGATCTATCTGTCCTCGCGGGTCGATGGCTGGGGCCATCCATGTGGCCCGAACCAGCTGCGTTCTCGGGTCCTTGATCATTTCGACCATTGACGTGGGCCACTGTCCATCTCGGCAGGCCTTCACTTGTAGTCTCGGTCGTTGCAATTGGCACTCTCGGGTCAGTTGGATCCTGGTGAACTACCACCACAGTCTCCTCTGGCCAGCCCAGGGCTCGCCTGGCTGCCATGACCCCGGGCGGAGGGCGATTTGCTTCATCAGCCCGCACTAGCACCGATCGAACTGGTGCCAGGATGGGCCCTCTATTGCTCCTCATGCCCCCTCGGCGCCTCTGACATGATCGAAGGAGCATGTCGCATGAAACAGCTACCTACCTGTCCCGCCTGGATCCCGTTCAGCTGCGGTCGTTTCCTCTCTTTTGCGACGTGTCAGGCGTGCAAGTCGTGACGGGGCCAAGCTCGAAACAACGAAGACAAAGGGGACACCTTCACTTGTTTTGCGCCTCTCAAACCTGTGGGGATCTGTGCACCCTCGCTCAATCTAGAAAGCGAATCTGCCCACAAGTTGAGGACGCCCCTCAGGTGCCGGCCCCAGACTGCGTCGATCTCGAGTGATTCCAATTGCAGGGCGATCTCCCCTGCGAGCTGAGCCATCAAGGGGGGACTTTCCCCGCAGTGTCATGACTGTATGTAAAGCTGACGTGCTGTCGCTATGGACGAAAAACTGGATGCATTGCTCTTTGAACAATTCGGAAAACAGTCTGATTGAAATGAAAATGGCCAACAATTCAAATTCCGACTGGTATGCGGGGTCGTTCAGGCGTGCTTGTCCCCCCAAGTCTTGACAGTCCCGCTCTGTTAGGACATGTCCGATAAAATGAGTGGGCTTTTCGCAAACGAACAGCACACTTCCGAGACCCGTGGGTGAAGCATCTGTCTCAATCCGAACACCTGTGGGGCTTCGGTCCCAGCGAAAGGTCCGAACTAGCGGCGGGGCGACGGGCGAACAAGGAAGACATGATTTGATCTGCAACAATTTCTTCAACCATCGGATTGGATGGGACACCTGACGAACGAACGTCAGACCCTTCCTCCGACGTGTCTCTGCCCGCTTAGGTCCCGAGGCCATCCTTTCCTTTGACATGGCCACCGCCGCCCACAGTTGGCTCGTCCATGGCCTAGCCAAGGGAATGAGATGAGACACCCACGACAAAATTCCGCACAAGTGTTCAAGTCGTTTCGTGGCCATCATACCCTTACAGGTTTCGACCTCATGGATGGCTTCAGTGATCTTGGTGACTTTGTCAGGGGGCAGCGAAATTTCAAGATGCCTACCATGTTCACCCACCAAGGTCAGCTGAACACCGATCCAGTCAAGGGAGGGCCCCCTCCTGGCCTTGTGCCATGCCAGCTTGAAACCTAAGGCCTCCCACAACAAAGTGGTTTGCAGGAACCAATAAGTGCGATCACGTGCAATTCGGCCCTTGGCAACGATTATTGGATCGTCTACATAGCACTGGAGTCTCGCGGTTTGCGAGGGAAAACAGGCCTATGCTAATCTCATGGCCGCTGCTGCGATCCGTCCCCACAACACGGGACCACATGCGAGCCCAAAGCAAATGCATTTGGGGAGTATGTACGTGCCATCGAGTGACTTGATGCACAACCACTTTCGTTCCCTGGGGTCAACCCGGAGTGTGTAAAAGGCGTCAGTGAAATCGACTACCATGAACTCGAGTGACTCTTCAGGGTGCATTTCGTTTAAAAGTTCACGTGTGGCTGCAGCAACATCTGACACTCTAGGTAAACAAATTCTTTCAAACAATGACATGCATCCGTTCACCCCGGATCTTCTCATGTCGACGATCAACCTCGTTTTGATCTTCCCCTCCCTTTCCTTCTCGATGCAGGCCAGCTGAGTCAATTTTGCTTCCGGTCCGACGAGGGATACCACTTTGGCCCAGGTGTTCGCTCTATCTGCACGGCCGGAGTCCACCATTCGGTCTAGCTCGGCCTGAGCACGCTCCCCAGCGTCGTAGAAAGAGGCATAGTTCTCTGCCTCTCCATCCCAATCCTCAAGGAGCACACCCAAGGCCTGGGAGGCCTTGATTGAAGCGGACACCTCATCTGTCGCTGGGAACACATTCGTGTGCTCGATTGGCACACTCAGCCCAAGCGGCACCACATCGTTCAGCCATCTCGGCAGGACCTGTGCATCAGCATCGCCAGCAGCGTCCAGCATTGCTTGGAATAGGGCGACCTTGTAGCCCTCTGCATTCTGGGTTTCATTGACCTCAAATTCTTCATGCAGCATTTGCACCGCTTTCTGTATGAGTTCCGGAGACACTTTCATATCTTTCTCGAAGAGACTCAAGTCGTGCTCTCCGATGCATAGTGCCAGTGCTTCCCGAACGCGGTGCCCCATCTTCCTCAAGGCTCTATTGCGTGCCACTGCCTTGCGGGGGTCTCTCAACCCCCCCACAGCGGCAAGGTTCTCTTCCTCCCTGAGCTCGATCTTCGACTTGTTGTTGACCTCCTTCGATGCCTGCGGGCTGTTCATCTCCTTCTTGGCCTCCTTGGTGCATTCCTTCTGAGCTGCCAACTCTGCTCTCTTTCTCTTCATCATTTCCAACTTGTTCTTCATCAGGACCAGCTGGTCGCTCTTTGTGTGCACCATTGTTCTCGATGCCAGCCATTCGTATCCCCCCCGGGCTCTCCAACCACGTCAACAGCGCTTGAGCCCAAGCATTGCATAGTCCGAAGGGATACTCTGCCGCCCTCGAAGTCTTCCACACCCATTCCCCGGTCACGGGGTTCCACGTTTTCCCAGACAGCCCGCCTGGGAGGTGGAAATGTGGTCTCACATCTTCGCACTTCAACTTCACTTCTGCCATCCATGCGGCTGAGGTCACGATCTTTGTGCTCTTCCTGGTGTGAGCTCCGTAGGGGCACTGGTCCAGGTCCACGTTGTGCACGCCTGCTATCTTCAAGATCTTCACCATCTTTGGTTGCTCCCAGGCGTACGATGTGGAAGGGTTCTCCAGTGACCACGTCTTGCCAGCCTCCTCGACCAAGTAAATCAGGGCGATCACCCGCTCGAGGATTCGATTTCCTTCCTCTGCTGTGGGATGTCCCCACCCCTCTGGTCGGCTGTCTGATCTGATCACCGGCACTGACCCGTGCCCGTCTTGCCTCCGAGCTCTCGAGAAACTCCTGCACGGGAAGGCCATGTGAGTGTGGTCTGCACTCAGGACTGCACCTTTTGCTTTCACGAAGCCCTCGTCTGTCAGGATGTCCCAGTCCTCCATCACGTCCAAAGGCTGTTGCACCTCCACGAGATTTCCGCAAAGTCTTTCGATCTCTCGCGAGAGTCCAGCCTTTCCCGCGAAGAGTTCCAGGAACCTGTACTTTCTGGTGCTGTCTTCCCGCTCGAACTTCTTGTCGTCCGCCGACTTCATGGGTGCACTGTTCATCGGCTTCTCCTCCACTCCAGATCGTTCGGCCTGGGCATTCCCAATGTCGACGGCCGGGTCCTTCATCGTCTTCAGCTCTTCGGGTCAGTTCTTGTTCTTGGTCTTGCTCTTTCCTTTGCCCTTCGACTTTCCTGAAGTCTTCTCCGGGCATTGGGAGTTCGGGTGCTTTCCCAAACAAATCTGACACGAGTGGACCCGCCCATCTTTGCATGGTTCCGGACAATCTCCGGGCTTGCCCTTGGCGTACCTGAAGCATAGTTCGTGGCCTTCCGAAGTCGTGATGTATTGCTTTCCCCACTTCTGCGGATGGTCTGACGTGCTTCCGCTCCCACCACCCGCCTGCGACGGTGCTTCTTTCTTCGCCTTCTTTGGCCTCTTCTTTCGGCCAGATCCGTCCTCCTCCAAACCCATGGCGTCCTTCGCAGGTGATGGGATGTTGACCTTCTCCGCCTTGTCCATGGTCATGTTGCGCCCTCCCCGGGCTATGAACATAGTTGCTGGCCCTATCACATGTTCGTCCCAGAACTCCCTGTTGCGAGCTGCATAGGTGAAGACACCAATCCATGGTTGGTTCGGCTGAAAGTCCAGCCCCATCGGAAGGCGATTGTCTGCTGCAGCCTTCGTGAGATGTCTCCTGTATCTCTCGAACATCTCTGACCGGCATTTGTCCTCGGCCTTCATGATCAGGTGCCAAGTCTCTGGGAAGTCCTGGTTCAACTTGGAGATGCGGTCGTAGTACTCCTCCAAACATGCAGATGTGATCACCCTCAAATGATCTGCTCCAGCAACTGCAGGGGGGGTACCTCAGCATAAACAGGATCGCCCTGAACACTTTCCAGCATGCCTTCCATGCATCGAATGATGGCGGCCCTGGGATGTCCAGGGCCTTGAAGGTGCCATCCTGCTGGAGGAGCCACGACCTCGTCTTCAGCTGTTTCTGCATGGTCCTCCCGAACGGAGTCAATATGCTGAAGTCTGCATATGGGCTTTCGCCCCGACGAACGATGCGATCTCGAAGGGCTGCAATTTGCTCTGCTGTGGGTTCTGAGTCGTCGCTGGGTTCCGCTCCTGTGACCTCGATGTGCCACAGGTGTGCCTGGTCCAGTTCTCCTCGGGTCATGAGGTCTATCTCTGAATCGTCCATCTGGTCCGTGACACTCGAAACCTTCACTTTCTTCGTGGGTGAAGCTCCTGCAACGACTGGGCCTCCTGGAGCGACTGCAGGAACAGGAGCTGGGTCTGCCAGTGGATCGATGTCTGCCATGACAAGGGATTGCCTGGCCACCCTCCACATATACGCGACGTGGATCATCTCCATCGCGTGCAACTCCCGTCGATTGGGGTCGGTGCCAACCCGGATGGTCCTCAAGGTCTGCCTCAGCGTGGAGGCAGGCAGCATTGCAAACAAAGTTGGCGTAGCCACACCACCCAAAGCCTGGTCGACGGCATTCCATATCGCCTCGGTGCAATGACAGTGGGCCCTGATGCGGGCAATGGAGTCGAGTCCGGCCAGCGTCGCAGCATCCGGCAGTCCATAACCTGCCATCGCCAAGGTGGCCTAGCGCCACTCCCACTGCAACGCAGCAAAAGCAGAAGGGCCAATGCATGCGGCCAGCGGTCCGGCCCGGTCACGACGCACCCAAGGCGCCAGGCAAAGGCCAACACCAATCCCCAAACAAAAGGTCAGCGCCAGGAGGATTTCAAGAACCATGGGGGCAAGGACCTAACCTCGCCCTGTGGGGTCACTTGAGAGGTCATATGACGTGAATCGATCAAGTGACATCGAAACCTCCCTAGTGCGTTCACTCCCTGCTGTTTTCACTGCACAAACAAGTTTGTTTCACAAAAAAAACAAGACAAGACCCTGAGATCTCTTCAGTCTCAGAAAGACATCGATGGGCCTCCTTTGGCCTCGCATATTCTTCGTTTCTCCATCTCCTTCTGCATCTGCTTTCGCACTTCTGGCCAACGAGGCAAGGAGGTACGCGATTGGGGCAGTAACAAGATGCTATTGGTAGCTCCTGGCATTACTAGAAAGTAGGTCGGAGGCCATCGCTATTAGGTTGGAGGCCATTACTACTAGTAACAAGAAGAAGGGGCACCTCCACACCTCGCTACTAGTAACAATTGGCATCGCTTCTAGAAGCAAGGACGCTACTAGGGGCTCCTGGCCTCGCTTCTAGGCACGCGATTTCACAGTCCTCCCTGATTGAAGAGTACGTGTGGGACAAAATCACTCATGCTTTGTGGTGGAAAAATATGGTTCAATCGTGTGAAGTCTCCTAATGTTCGATCTGCTGTCCTTAGGCCAAGGTGACAAGAAGCTACTAGGAACAAGGGCATTGCTACTAGGAGCAAGAACGCTACTAGTAGCTCCTGGCATTTCTACTAGGAACAAGAAGCTACTAGGAACAAGGGCATTGCTACTAGTAACAAAGGGCATTACTACCAGTAGCATTCTTGCTACTAGGAACACGAAGCGCATCCCCGGCCTTTCACTATTGAGTTCGCTTGGTACCAAGCCTCCTGGCCTTCTGTCGCGCTCCTAGTAACAAAGGGCATCGCTACTAGGAGCAAGGGAGCTACTAGGGGCGATCCTGGCCTTACTACTAGGAGCCAGAACGCTACCAGGTGAAGAAAACTAGTTCGTTTGCATCATCTAACTAAACTTTCTGGCACTCTTGCCTCAAAATTATTGCCCTGAACTGGAAAACCTCAAGACAAACACATTATTTCTTGTCATCATATCCGTTCTTCCTTCTTGGACCTTTCCGATGCACTTTGCAAGGGACCTGCGGCCCCGAGGTGTAATAAACCTTTTCCAAATCTTGCTCACGTTGAAGCAACTCCTTGTAGATATCAAGAGGCCCTCAAGATCTAGACATACCAATGGTCTCCAATGGCCCCGCTTGGTTGTGATTTCCAAGACCAGGGTTCTTTCCCCTCCAGCTTCAACAGCTGATATCAGTACGAGCAGTTACCAGCCTGAAAAGTGTACCCGCGTGGTTGACCCATGGCAAGCCGTGAAGCCGTGGTGCAAGAATGCTAGAGGCCAACCACTGCTTTCTCAGTACTTGCTCTACCAGGTAGTAGCTACTTTCGCCAAACCCCTTGCTAGACCAAGTTTCCCTAAAAATCTCAGAACCGAATCATTAGTGCGATCTCTCCTGCGTCCGGTAGTAGCTACTTGTAGGTACGAGTCGCGAGGTACTACTTCTATCTGGCCAACCCCCTCTCCCCCGCGCGCGCGCGAAAAAGATCCTACGATCGCTACCTCTTGCGGCCTACCTACCCCCCTCCTTATATTAAACCCTAACATACTAAATACCCAAACGCATTTTCTTTCTTTTCCTTTCTAATAAGCTACTAGGAACAAGTGCATCGCTACTAGTAACAAGTGCCTTACTAGTAGTAACAAGAAATTCTAATATAAGTTGTTTCTACGTTCGCTTCTTGTTATTACTAGTAAGGCACTTGTTACTAGTAAGGCACTTGTTTCTGCCAAGACTCTGAGCCAAGTCGTTCAAGGAGTCTCTTTTCTCTTCGATGTTTCGGTGCCAACTTGCTTTCGAATCCAGGAGTTCTTCGGCCACTTTGATGCCAACTGAGCGACAGACACAAAGCCACAGAAGCAAGAAGCAAGTTGCTTAAGAAGCACCAAGCAAATTGCCTTCTTGCCTTGCCTTGATAGCGCTGCTGGATCCTTTCTGACCGGGCTTTGGAATAGTACACGTCCTTCTCGTCCTCGCAGCTCTCCACGAACGACGAGATAGCATTCTGATTCATGCGCAAATGAGGACCTAATGCGAGCAGTGGATTGAACTAGGAACAAGAGCATCGCTATTAGGAACAAGAAGCTACTAGTAACAAAGGGCATCTCTAGTAGGAGCAAGAAGCTACTAGGAACAAGAAGCTCTTTTGGGTAGAAGGTCACAAAGCCGTGGTGCCAAGTACAGAGATGCCACCCCATCACTCTTAGGTTGGAGGCTAGTAGCTTACTCCTTGACTTAATTAATTAAGGAGGGAGGGGACGAGCGGGCGACTTCGACTTGTCCTCGGTCATCAGTTCCAGCTTTTCGGCGCTGAGCCCTGCGAATTGGGTCAAGACCTTTGACCTGAACTCAGCTGGGAGATGCCATCGCAAGTAGGTTGGAGGCCGTTGCTACTAGGGTGGATGCCATCGAAAGTAGGTTGGAGGCCATGGGTGGAGGCCATCGCAAGTAGGTTGGAGGCCATCGCTGTCCAAACTTTTCTTCACTCGGGTGAAAATCCCTTTGGTGGACAGCTTCATGTCGGTTTGCTCGTCTCTGGCATCTTATGTTCCCGTCTCCTGGTCCTGAGCGATGGCCTCCAACCCACTAGCAATGCCCTCCTTTCTTCCTTTTCTTTTTTTCTTTGTGTCCAAGGGCGATGACCTCCAACCTACTGGCGATGGCCTCCAACCTAGTCTCAAATCTCCCTGGTCTTACTGAGATTGCTCGATCTGGGTTTTGAGCGGTTCCCCCCCTGGTAAGTAACCCTGTCACCTCTTCAGCACTCTTTGATCTGTCTGTGGCAAACGTATGAGGTGAGAATTCTGCAACCCATGTATGACAACATCTAGGACAGTAGAAACCATTAATAAACATAAAGTAAAGACAGGTAAGTCTCTGTTTGTGACAGCTGAGTCTCTGCCCCTCCCGACTTTCTGTCCGACTCCCTCGCCTTTCAGCACCATCCTGAATGAACTGCAGGACGTTTTTCTCTTCGAGAATCACCGCCAACTGCTCTTTCCGGCGCTCCTGCCCGCAAGACGAGAAGTGTCGAAAGGAATCGAAAAAGGAGCGAAGGGCATCGCTACTAGCAGCTCCTGGCCTTACTACTAGGAGCAAGGTTTGCCATTAGAAACAAGAAGCTAAGAATTGAAATAAACATCTAAATTGGAATTACATGTAATTAATCAGAATTGGAACAAGAAGCTACTAGGATCTGCGCCCCGGGGGGGGTAAAGGACGCTGCTAGGAGCAAAGGCCATCGCTAGTAGAGCCTCCAACTGCCGACTGCCGACTGCAAAGTCCAACACATGAGGTGTCTTTCAATTGGCCTAAAGAGAACACAGGACACAAATATATAAGCAGGAAACCTATTGAAGATAAAAATATCAGCAGTATCGCTGTTCCTTTGGTATTAGTTCCTTCTCTTCTGTTTTTGCAGACCTTTGGTATTAGACGCCTTGCTTCACCACTTTGTCCTGTAATTCCTTCTGTATCGCAAAGCGGTCGCTGGACTTGCCATTCAATGACTCCCTTCTCAGGTCGGACATCACATCTTCAACCTCAGAAAAGCAGGTAGTAACAAAGGGCATCACTACTAGGAGCAAAGGGCCTTACTAGTAGTAACAAGAAGCTATTAGAAACAAGTGCCACGCTAGTAGTAACAAGTGCCTTACTCAAGAAGCTATTAGAAACAATAAACAGAATCTAATTAGAATTAGAATCTAACTAAATTAGTCGCAAAGAAGGCTACTAGGACCTTTTCGCGCGCGCGGGGGGGTGTAGGAACAAGAAGCTACTAGGAGCAAGGACGCTACTAGGGGCTCCTGGCCTTACTACTAGGAGCAAGGGCATCGCTACTAGGCAATAACATTACATCTGTTTACACAAAAAAGAACGGTTCACAGTGATAAGCACGTTACTAGCAATGGCCTCCAACCCAATAAAAACAGAAAGGTTCACAGGTCTTCAAAAAGAGAGAGAAGGAACCAAGACCCTTGAGACATATCACACTGACTGACTGCTCAGACTACTCGTCTGCCTCTTCTCCTTCAACAATCATTTTGTATTTCAAGTTGGAAGTGTTTTCTGCGACCTCTGCGTGCCGCTTCTCTCAACACGAACACATGTTGTCAAAATACTGTGTTTAGGTGTGGTACAAAATAGGCTCAACATGTCGGTTTTCTCTCAAGCTATTCAGCTGCTATTCTTCCTTTCGCTCGATTTTTGTGGGGACAGGCTGTGAAGAGGAAGGGAAAGAGAAGGGAAGAGGAAGGGTAAGAAAGGAAGCTACTAGCACCTTAGCTAGTAGTAGTTTAGCTACTAGCTTAAGCTGTCATAGCTACTAAGAAGCAAATAGACATTGGGAATGCAGAAGGGCTTGGCTTCTTCGCATGGCTTTGGTTCTCAGTTCTTTTTGGGAACTTAATCCTTAGACAATTATTTTGTTCCTTCCTTTCTTCGCATTGTAATTCTTCCTATAGAGACAAAAGGCCGAACAATTTGTCTTTTCACAAACAACTTGACAATCCATTGCTCCCCACTTCCCTTCGGATCATTGACCCAGGGAATAGCAGACTATATTGGACCGTTTTTCCTTTTCTCTTTGTTTGGCGATGGCCTAGCTGTGAGATAAGCATGCCTGCTAAACAAAACGATGAAGTAACGCCCATTGGATAGATCTGGTGGAATTGGCGCATCAAGAGTAGGTATCCACAATCTCTTCAATGCCAGTCGCAATTCCTGCTGGAGAGATTGACGTTGTGATGAAAACTGTGCATAGAGAGGATGTCCTCCCTTTTTCATACTTTAGGTACCTTTGTACAAATATGTTTCCAAATAGTCCAAGCGGCTCTTTGGCGGGCTCTGGCTTCACATTCCTCGATGGTGGTCCTAGCGTTGCTCTTTGAAGGAAGGGATTGAATCGGATTGCAGAAGAAACTCACCAAGGATGTGTTTCTTTCGTAGAATTGTGTTTTTTTTCAATTTAACTGTCCTCACTCAATCAATCTTTTGGTGGGCATCCAAACACTGGGAGTTAGTGGGCAATCAAGCTGGGCTGGGTCGGTGGCAAACGAATCATAACAAGAACAGTTCTGGAACGTCATCGCATATATTGTTTTCTTCTTCCTCCATCTTCCTCTTCCTCCGCCTCCCTTGTGTCCTCAGCGCACTAATGTCCTTGGTGGACACAGCGGGTTTCTCAGCTGTCAAGTCTGCGCGGCAGCAAGGATCAGAATCAGGACAATTGTGGAGGCCTCACAGGAAATCCAAACCCATCAGCCATGGCCTCCAGCCTAAGAGCGATGAAGTCCAAAACTCATATCAATGCAACAACTTGCCATCGCTTCCTCCTGCTCACCATTGCCGTACGAATATCTTTCAATATGTCAACTAAATATGATGAATATCGGATGAAAAGCAATCGAAAGGGGCTAATCCTGTTTTCATCGAACCTTGCCTCCCTGAGTGAAAGAACTCTACTCGATAATCCCCTTGGTACCCATATTCCAGTCTCAAAAGGTTAGGCGCCAGTCTCTAGTGAAAAGGAAGACAGAAACTATCAGCGGTCCGAATGATTCTAAATGACATGAACAAAAGAAGATAAAGAACACCTCACACACACAAAATGAAGAACTAGGAGCAAAGGGCATCACTACTAGGAGCAAGGACGCTACTAGGGGCTCCTGGCCGTACTACTAGGAACAAGGACGCTACTAGGAACTTGCTGCACATAATGGTGCCCAAGTGTTCGGACACGACTCACTTCGCCTGTCAAGATATTCATGTCCTCCTTCTTCTCCTGGATCTCTTGGTATGTTTCGTCAGCCTGGCGACCGGCAGACGAAGAGCAGTGGTTGGTTCTTATTCGTTTCTCTTGTTTGTCATTCTTGAGGCCTCTCTTTTCGTGAACGAGTTGTGGTTCCAAGTCTCCATCCCGAACAGGTGTTTACATGAGCCCCGTTCGTAGCGCCGCTCCGTTCGTAGCGAGGCCAGGAGCCCCGTTCGTAGCGTCCGATCGCTCCTACATGCATTATATATGTTGAGCCTCAAGGTTGCTACACTTTTGACATGGGTGACTAGCGGTCCGCCCAACTACATCAACCTCTCCTCGTTTATGATGCAAAGTAGCTCTTCTCTGTCTCATCGGACTTTGACCCCTAAAAGTGCCTCCTAGGAGCAAAGGGCATCGCTACTAGTAACAAGTGCCTTACTACTAGGAACAAGGACGCTACTAGGGGCTCCTGGCCTTACTACCAGGAGCAAGGACGCTACTGGTAGCTCTTGCCCTTACTACTAGGAACAAGAAGCTACTAGTAGCAAATTAGCTATTAGGTTGGAGGCCATCGCTCTTAGGAGCAAGAAGCTACTAGTTGGAGGCCAGAGGTCATTACTACTAGTAACAAGAAGCTACTAGGTGCTTCAGCAGATGGTTCCTTTTCTGTTGGGACTTTGACGGCAAGTGCTTGCTCCTTCACGTCCCTCTCCCCTGCCACCAGGCCCTACCCACCCAACCTTCGAAAACACCTCCACCATTTCTTGGATCACATGTCGGATGGCAGCTCGGCAATCCATGGTGCCGACTGGAGAAGCGCCTTTCAAATGACCCAAGGAACTTTGGGCGTCTACTTTTAGTGACCAAATGCAGCAGATCCACGCACAAGACAAATTATGTGGCAGTTCAGCTCCTTTCCAAATGTGGAAAATGGGCAGTTCTGAAATAAACCATGTGGAACAGGTGATGATGGAAATTCAATACATGCCAAAATAGATATGCTACCCGAGACAATTGTCATGCACGATGTACCTGCAACACTGCAACAGCCGGCTTCAACATGTGTCACCATTTTTTGCAGCTGCCAAGGGTCCAGAAAGGGTCACATGCCACATTGCACCTGCAACAGCGAACGTTTCACAACGTTTAAACGCACGAATTATGGCGGCCTGGCATGTGAGAACGGCTGAGAAATGGCTCTGAATAGTTTGTGCTACATAATTGATCATAGTTGCCCCAGGATGACCAGCATAATCATGATGTTGGATTCGGCTTGCAAGTCCAGAAACAAAACACATGTGGCGCGGTCAAAACATGCTAGCCATTCTGCTGCCATGGTATCGCTCTTCAAGGTTCCCTATCGCTCCACACAGTCCCAATCAACAAAGAATTAACCCCACAATCCCTCTCAAACCTGAGGATTGTTTGTGGTTCCTCTCAGAAGCTACCACGTGTCAATTGTTTCAACAAATTGCGGCCCTTGACAAGCGCTACATGACATGAGGAAACGTGAGGAAACACTAGTAGCGCTAGTGAATTGTGGCTCAGACTGGACTTCTCGGTTTGGGTATGGCTCTAAAACCCATGTTTTTCCAAAAACATGTCAAATTATCATTGGCCTTCTTAGAACGGGAATCACTCTTCAGGGTTCCCTATCGCTGCACACAGGGAGAACTAAGCTTTACAAAGTCAATGGAGGGACTCTAAAACTCTGCATAGGATGTGTTGGCCCTTGCTCACATGAGTTAGGGTGGAGGCCATCACTTTTGGGATGCGGGCCATCGCTTTTAGGATGGAGGCCATTGCTCGTAGATTCTTAGGTTGGAGGCCATCGCTATTAATCTCTCCAAGACAAGTTGTATGCCTTTACTCCCACTACAAAAGTCCCACAGGCAGCGCGAATTTGAATCTCAAAACCACATAAATCAGATGCCCCATGTTTTGTGGGGAATGGTTTCGGGGCCCACGAAATGGCGTGTTGTGATTCAGATCGTCATGGATCGCCCTTTTTTGGCGATCAAAGGACGCTACTAGGGGCTCCTGGCATCGCTACTAGTAACAAGAAGCTACTAGGGGCTCCTGGCCGTACTACTAGGAGCGACAAGTTATTAGGAACAAGAATTCTATAGAATTAGAGTTAAAACTGATCTAAATTTAATTAGAATTTACTTTGAATTAGTAGCAAAAGAAGCTGCTAGGACCTTTTTGCGCGCGCAGGGGGGGGGTAGGAGCACCTAGAAGCAATGGCCTCCAACCTACTGGCGATGGCCTCCTCCAACAATGGCCTCCAACCTACTAGCGATGGCCTCCAACCTAGAAGCAATGGCCTCCAACCT